GTGTGTGTGTGTGTGTGTGTGTGTGTGTGTGTGAGTGAGTGTGTGCGTGCGTGCGTGCGGTGTGTGCGCGCGCGCGCGCGCGCGCGCGCGTGTATGCTTGCGCTAGGGCAAGTGAGGAGGGGGACTCAGCTCAGGACGGGGAGGCGCTGCTCGCAGGTCCCGGTGTCCAGGTGGCGGCCAGAGCGCTTGGTCCGCAGGCAGCGGGCGGGTGGTCCACCCTCCCGCCCCAACCACGCGCGTGCGCGCCCCGGCCCCTCCCTCCCTGCCACCCTCCTCGGCTCCCGCGCGGCGGCGGCGGTTCCTCTCCCCCTCCCCCCAGCCCTGGCTCCGGGGGACCCTGCGATGCCGGTCCGCACCGAGTGTCCCCCGCCGGCTGGTGCCTCGGCCGCCTCCGAGGCCTCTCTCATCCCACCGCCGCCCATCAACACCCAGCAGCCCGGCGTGGCCACCAGCCTGCTCTACAGCGGCTCCAAGTTCCGCGGCCACCAGAAGAGCAAGGGGAACTCGTACGACGTAGAGGTGGTGCTGCAGGTGAGCGCCGGGCCGGGCCTGGGCCGGAGGGCCTCCTCGCGGCGCTCACGGGCCGTGCCTGCCCCTCGGCTCCTCGAGCCCTCAGCCGCGGAACAGGCCCTCGCCGCCGGGCCTCCTGCACCCGGCGCTTCACCCCCGGGACCTGCCTAGCTGGTGTCTTACACTCTCTGAGCCCCATTCCTGACCTGCCCCCTCACACCTGGATCCTGTCATGAGCAGCTCCTGGCAGTACCTGAACACTCTGCCAGACTTGAAGCCCGTGGCCAGCCCGCCTGGAATCCGGAAGCCCCCCATGACCTGCCATCCTCAAACCTGGGTCCTACGCATGACCTGTCACCCCAAGATCAGCCCTCTTCTCCAGTCCCTCTTAGACCCTGAAGAACTCTCCATTGGCTGTTCCTCACTCGGGACCCTCCTCTTGGCGGGGCACATGTCAGATCCTCCCAGACCTGAGACATGCCTCCTTTGACCTCTTTCCTCAGCCCCGAGGAGTCCTCAAACCCTGGGGCCTTCTTCCGCTTCCTCCTTGGGAGAGCTTAATCAGCCCCTTCAGACATGGAAGCACCCTCCCTCCATTAGCCCCTGAGCGCCCCCAACCCACAACTGATTCCTGGCTCCTGACGCCCCCTCCCCCTGCAAGACCAGGCACATCCTGGGTGCTGCTGGGTGGGCCTCCTCACAGTGTGTCAGGGTCTTGCCTCCTGAGTAATCCCCACACACACACCACCCGTCTTTCTGATCTCGACGCCCAGATCCTCAGGGCTGCCCCACCCCCAGCCTTCTCATACTCCTACCTCTGTTCTCTTGCCACTTCCAGTCTCCTCGCAGTCTCTCTGGCCTCTTCTACCCAGACCTTCCCACCCTATACCTTGGTCTTCCTCCTTCCTGACTCCAGGGAACCCTCTTTCCCGGTTCTTAACTTTTATCTACACAGCCAAGGCTTCTTCCCAATCTCCAATAGCCATGTACTGGGAAACCTAACTCACCCAGTTTTATTTCTCCCTCGGATAGTTCCCGTGTCCTTCCACCTTCCCGCATTTGACCTGGATTTGAGTACCCTGATAGCTTTGGAACTACAGCCTCAGCCGCGCTGGCCCTTTCCTACACCTCACCCCTCATGCAGATGGTAGTACAGTTGACCTTTTTTTCCCTGCCAAAGGAGAGGTTTATACTCCTTTTTCTTTCCCTTTCCTACAAAACCATTCCTTCTCTGTAGCTACCCTTGCCTGCCTCAGGACCCATTTTCCCCCTCCCTCTACCCCTTTGTCCTTAGCCTGACATCCCACCTACTAGGCTGTTCCCCAAATCCTCTCCAAACATCTGTCCCCTTGAAAGGACTTGCAGAAGCTTTGAGGTCTGTCTGGTGTGCTGCCTCACTGCTGCTGTGAGAGAACAGACTGCAGGATGTGCCTTTTCCATATACTTGCCCTTTGCCCTTTTAAATTTTAAATCTTAACACAGCTTCTCTTCCGAGTAGGTCTCCCACCTGGAAGACAATGGGAGTACATTTTTCTTCCACTAACTAAGAGTATTCATCAGCCTCTCTTCTTACTGTTTTGTGGGAATAAATAATTTTCTCTTTTTTTTTATTAGGAAAGCTGTATCTCCACGTTTAATTGTACCTTTGGTCAATAGACAAATTTCTATCATGAACCATGATATTTATTATAATTGAAAAACTGTTGTGGCTGAGGTATTTCAGTCTTCATAATTATTTGTCTCATGTGGTGATCCCCCTTTGCCTGAAATGTGAGAATTTAGTACAAAGGCACAAGTTATTTTTGTTTTTGTTTTTTTTGCAAGTAATCATAAAATTTTGGAAGTGAGATCCCTGGTGTGGGCCATGTGTTGAAATGATCTTGAATTTGTGCCCATTGTTTAATTTGATAGTTTCTGATATGATAGGGGACAACTGGCAGGGTAGCTAAGTGTCAAAGAGAAGTCTGCTTTGGTTACTGTGGCAACTACTCTTCCATCATTAGTATGTTGTTTCTGAATTTCTGTCAGGTGCCAGTTTCCTCATGAACCAGTGGAAGCGGGAATTGAGTTGGTATACGACTGATATGTCTCAAGGAGGCCCAGCGCAGAAACCTGGCGGGTGGCTGGAAGCCACTTGAGTGGGATGTGTGACAGTTGTCATGCCCAGGAATGCTGCTCTATGTCTGGATTGGTGAGCTGCTTGTCCATCATAGAGAGTCAGTGGCATGTGAATTGCCCCATCACCTGGTTTTTCTGCCAGGACTAGTTTCTTGGACTCAGCCTTCTTAGAATACTACTGCGTTTTATAAGTCATCCTCTTTCTTGCCTGCTTTCTTTTTTTCCCCACAACAAGTTTATTGAGATATAATTTACATACCATACAATTTACCCATTTAAGGTGTACAATTCAATAGTTTTTAATATATCAACAGAGTTGTGTAACTATCACTGCAAATCTGATTTTCATTACCCTGAAAAGGAACCACATACTCCTTAGCTGTAACCCCCCTCCAACCGTAGGCAACTACTACATTTTTTCTAAGATTTGCTTATTTTGGACATTGCATATAAATGGAATCTTACAATACGAGACCCTTTGTGTCTAGCTTTTTTCACTGAGTATAATGTTTTCAGGGTTCGCCCATGTCACAGCTTGTCATTGCTTCTTTCCTTTTTATTGTTGCATAATAGTCCATTGTATGGATAGACAACATTTTGTTTATCCATTGATCAGCTGATGGACATTTGGGTGGTTTCCACTTTTTGGCTGTTAAGAGTAATGCTGCTGTGAACATTCATGTACAAGTTTTTGTGTGGACATATGTCTTCATTTCTCTTGGATAGATACCTAGGAGTGGAATTGCTGGGTCACATGGTAACTCTATGTTTAACATTTTGAGGAACTGCCAGACTGATTTTACATTTGGCCTGTGCCGTTTTACATTTCCACCACAGTATGTGAGTGTTATAATTTTTCCACATCCTCGTCATCTCTTGTTATTGTCCATCTTTTTTATCATAGCCATCCTAGTGGGGGTGAAGTAGTATCCCATTGTGGTTTGGATTTGAATTTCCCTAATGACTGATGGTGTTGCACATCTCTTTGTGTGCTCTTTGGTGCATTTTCTTTTTTTGAGATTTCAGTTTAAAAAGTTCCTCAAACTTTGTGAGATTTTGACTGGGTTTGTTGTTGTTTGTGTTGTTATTGTGGCTATTCTGTTTCTCCTCTGCCATCCAAGAAGCCAAAAGTAAAGTGAGGGTCACTGTGAAAGGAATATTAAAAAGAGCAGCTGTTGGGCACAGCTGTGCTGTGAGACCTGCTAACATTTGCCTTGTTATCATTCTCATTGAGATGCTGGCCTGTTGTTTGGTTAAAGCACTCTGCGTTGTGGGGTATGTGATTCACCAACCGTCATCAAGATCAGTTTGGGCAGAATGGGGGAGAGACACATGGTTGAATGGAGGCCAAACTGAAATTCTGATTCCTGAGCATGTGATAATGTTAGCTAATTTACAGTTCAAGTTTTAATCTTATTAGCAAGTATCCTTGCCACCTGATACCCTTTCCAGTGGCTGTGAAACCCCAAATTATAATATATTGTATTCAGTGAGAATTGTGTCCATGAAATGTAAGGCCTCAGCTTAAAGCTGTATAGCGTTTAATAAAAGTTCTTTGTGGAACCACGTTAGTACTGATCAGCTGCTTTAGATAATGTCCAATGCCAAGGTCAGCACATGAGGATGTTTAAAATGCTTTGGCACTTTTCAGATGGGATACCTCTGTCACCAGCACCAAACTGTGGGAGCACTTTAGCTTCCCTGAAGCCCATTTGCTTTGGTGCTGACCTCACCTGGCTGAGTGCGCTCATTACAGTTTTTGAGGATTGCCTTAGTATTTGATTTATGGTGTAGTTGAAGTAGTTGAATCCCCAAATCTGATAAATTCCACAAAACTTTTCTAGTTTCTAAAAATGAGATCTCACTTAACATTAAAACCTCAATGTGCTACAGCACCATTGTATTTGGTTTTACTTTAATTTCAGGGGTTTACTTTGTAAATAAATCCAGTTGTCATGAAATCTGAAAATCTGTCTATTGAGGATGAGTCTGTATAGATTGGGGTAAAATGCACTAGTTAGTATTCATTCAGCTGCAAGTAACCATACCCATTTCAAAATAGCGTAAAGAATAAGTGAATCCATTTTCTCACATTACAAGAAGTTGAGAAGTGGCTTGGTTCCAGATTGGCTCATTGAGGGGCCCATTTCTTTCCATCTTTCTGTGCTGCCATCCTTGGCATTTCCTGGCCTCATGACCTCTAGATGGCTGCCACAGGACTGGGCATTGGGTGCAGATACTGCTACCACCAAGGGAAGAAAGAGAGCCTCTACAAAAGCCAGACCCTTTCCCAGAAGCACGCAGGAGACTTATCCATACGTCTATCTGGACAGAACTGGGCCACTCACCCCTAAACCAATAACTCGCAAGGGGACGGGGGCATGTGTTTGCCTTGGATCCGCCAGGGTTGACCCGGTCTTGTGGGGCCAGGATAGGTGCCAGAACAGGATCTAGGCCCTGTCAGCACAGAAAAGGAGGAAACTGGTTGTTGGGAGACGGCCGGCATTGTCTCAGCAACCAGGGATTGGCAGCTACTACACCTCAAAATCTACTCCTGTTACCCCTGTTTATTTTAGGCTCCTCCTTTCATCAAGAAATACAAGCATCCTGACATGAAATGGGCAGAGCAGGCATTCACAGTGGGTTCTGATTTGGGCTCAGCATCCTGGTTTGTAACTGATATTTATATCACATAAGTCTTTGAAACAGTCCTTTCCTGAACATTCTGCCTATTTCATAAAGAAATAATGCAGGGTGGTGCTTAGTTTAAGATATAGGAGGAGTGGACTTGCTAGACCAATGATGGAGCAGCATGGAGACGGAAATAGGCCGGAAAGACATGAGAAAGCAGATGAAAGCCAGGTTAGGGATAACAACATGTGTACAGATAGAAATGGAGGCCTAGTCTGTAAACCAATGGAAGACTGGTATTGAAGACAAAAATAAGGTTGGAGCGGGCTTGCTGTTCCAGAAAGGGACTTCAGTCTTAAGATATTTAGCTGAAGGAAGTTGAGAGGGTCCTGAGATTGGTTTGCTTCATCTGAACAGGCACGTGGATGGAGAACACACAAAGGTCTCAGGCCGGCAAGCCCCAGGCTGTGCTAGGCATGCACCGACCCCCAGACCTCCCTTCCCCCATCTGGCTCAAAGGTGCCTCTGACAGCTGGACACAGGGATTTCTAAAGTACCTCCAGCTTGTCTCCTGGTGCTTTCTCTTTGTAACGAGGCTGTGTGTTTCTTTCTTTCCAGCATGTGGACACGGGGAACTCTTACCTTTGTGGGTACCTGAAGATTAAAGGCCTTACTGAGGTAAGCACTCATTTAAATGAACTAGACCTGGGAAGAGGCCTGCACACTCAGCACTCTCAGGCATTTGCGACTCTGAGGCTGGACTGAAGCATCTTGTTTCTAAGGGCTGCTTTGCAGTGGTGAACATAAAGCGTGCGGTTTTGGCATGTGCTGCTGCAAAGTATACAGATTCTCAAATCTTTAAATTTTATAAATAAATCATAATGTGACCAATACTATTGATTTCATTTTTAATCCTTTTTGAGAAAAAAATATATATAGTAAGAATATAGCCACCACCCTCATCATAATTATAACAATTTCTGAGGTAAGTATCAATCCTTCGAGAACTGAGGTCTTTATTTTTATTATTTTTTTTTAGCTGAGCCATCCTGCCACCTGTTGGCAGGTCAGCGGCAGCTCAGATTGGGCTGGGAATCGAACCAGCAACCCTGTTGCTCAGAGCTCGCACTCTGGAGCGAGCTCTTAACCAACTGAGCCACTCGGCTGGTCCGAGAACCGAGGTCTTTGAAATTCTTTTAATCCTTTACGAGTAGTTCACTGAAATAATGAGCAGTGATCCCCCAGTTTCTAACAGAAGTAGCTGCTGTGTAAATGTAGTGTTTCCCTTCCTTTTTAAACCTTAGAATGCCCAGGATTTAGAAAGCAAGAAAGAGCATCCTCTCTTTTCCCACTAGTGATTAGACAGGGTGAGGAAGGAGGTGAGTGAACTGGCCGCCTGACTCCATCCACAGTGAGGGCCTAGGCTTAGTGTCTTGTTGATCTGATCGGCTCACACTGTCTTCATGGGCCAGCGGCGTTTGGAAATTGCTCACGAGTCGTGCAAAGGGGCTGGGTGACATTCTGGCTCTGGCTCTTACTAGTTCCATAACCTTTAATTTGCCTCAGTTTCCTCATCTGTAAAATGAGAAAAATACCTGCTCTGTCTACTCGACGAGCTTGTCCTAGTAGGCGGGAAATAATGTGAGAGTAAGTGGCAGACTGTAATGTGATACAGTATGGGATGCTAACAAGGCACTGACTCTCCTCAGGCTTCAAACAGTTGTTTCTTCCTCTTTCATTCCATTTTGGTTCTCCTGCTTCTCTATTGGAATTGTGGTTGAGAATTTCCTGTGAAGGTTGTTGTTGAGATGAAAAGGTAATCTCTTGGTCACCTCTGGAAACTTACCCAGTCAAACAGGGCTAGGAGATGATAGCAAGATGAAGGATCTACTCTTTGAATTTGTAGTAATAGAAAACGTGTAGTAAACAGAACATACTCACCTCTTAGGCAACCAAATATATTCATTAATTGAGTGCAGAACATAAACATTTAACTTCATGAGGAAACCAGGAAAATTTGTAACGTGGAATATTTAATGCTGACTCTAAAGTCAGTCATTCTGGTCATAGGAAGCTGCACGGAAATGGTAAGTAGCATTAAAAGCCCCTAAACAGTGTACAGATGTGCCAGGAACTTTGTGTCAGGAGCAAGTAACCCTAAGAAAGGGAAGCACCTCTGTGTCATGAACAGCGAGGCTCCCTTGAGGGGAGGAGGTGCTGGCACAGCCGTTCCTTGGAGGCCAGCCCTAGGGAACTTTGGCTTTGGCCAGAACCCGGACACCACCCTCCTGGCCCGTCCTTCCCACCTGCCCCTGGAGTGCCTCCCGAACACACAGCTTCCCCATAGTGATCTGCTCCAGGTCAGGTGGTGGGCTCGCCTATGGGGCTGAAGTGGTGCTTAGTTAGAGACAGGTTGCTGTGTTTCCTGAGGTTCCTAAATCCTCCTGCTCACCTTCAGGACTCCTTGAATTCATCTTTGTTAATACATTTTTTAGTAACTTTACTGAGATATAGTTAAAATATCATGCAATTCACCCATTTAAAATGTACAATTCATTGACTTTTAGTATAGGCACAGTATTGTGCAACTTAATAACTTTTAAAATTATAACTCTAATACGTGATCACTGTAGATAATTAGTAAAATGCAGAAAACGGTGATGATTCTTTGAATGATTTTTATACCTGTAATATAAAATGCAGTTATTCATTTTTGTTTGCTTTTCCATTTATAGCTGTTAAAGTCTACAATGTATACTTTATTTTAATAAAACTATTTAAATGGCTTGGGGTTTAGTTATAGTCTTCCTTGTATTTACAATACGGAATTAACTATTAAATTGGAGATAATTTGCCTCTTAGCTACCTCACATTCACAAACAAGCACAGCTTTAAGGTTTGCGCGCCTTCTGGAAATGAAATCCCAGAATTGTGAAGAATGGGTGTCAAATAGCATTCTTTTTGTAATTCTGAGCCAGCCACCAGTAGGGAGAGGGACCATCCTGGGGAGGCCCTTGGCTGTCAGCTAGCACAGGGCCTGGGGGGAGCCCAGACTTCGGGGGGAGTCTTGTCAGGTTCTCCACTCATTCACTAGACCAGTTTGGAAGGGCTTGGAAGCTCCCGCTGAGGTTGTACTAAACTTGCTTAAACCAGACAGGTCATACTAACCAAACTCACAAGAGTCTGATGTGTCTACAGAGTGCTTAGTTTGCACATTTACAAAACAAATTGCATGCATGTTCCAGAAGTTCTCTTTGACTTATTGGCCAATTGAATGTTGATTCCCCCAGAATTCAGGTCTACGTGGAAAGCCAGAACCATCACCTGACAGTTTTTAGTGAGCCTGGAATCAGTTAGGGAAGTGGTTTGGACAACTTAAGTGCCTGGCAACAGCCAATCCATCAGACGTCCAGGCCTGTGTGGAGGGGTGGGGGATGCTGGCTATTCCTCTTTCTCTGATGGTTTTCCTGATATCCCTCCTTCTGCTGACAGTGAATTACCACCCATTGGGCTATAGTCAGGTACTTGAATTTCCTATTCCTGCACTGCGAGATAATTGTCTTTTTGGAAATTTGTCTTTTTGGTGACATCTGTACATATTGACTCTCATTATGTATTTTATTTAATTCTCTGAGTTTGGGGATACCTTGTAGTCACCCTGATATACTGCCTAATATATATATATATATATATATATATATATATATTAATATTTTATTGGGGAATTGGGGGAGGGGAACAGCATTGGGGAATCAGGGAAGGGGAACAGACAAGTTGCTGTCCTTTTGTTCTTTGGTCTAGTTGTGGAGGATGTCACTTCACTGGCCCATGTTGGTATTGTGATCATTGCACTCTTCCCAGGTGAGACAGATCGGTCACCGGCCCTTGGATGGCCGCTCACAGTGGCTCATGGCAGCTCACACTGGCTGCCAGCCACTCACGGTAGCTTAAGACAGCCCATTGCAGCAAGGGCTGCAGCCTACGTCATTGCCGGCCACTCACGGCAGCTCAGCTCCAGGTTGAGCTGTTGTTCACCATATTAGCTGTAGAGGGCACAGCGTCACTGGCCCTCATGTGGGATCTGAACTGGGGCCCTGCTGCTCAGAGCTGGTAATCCCAAGCCAACTCTTAACCAGCGCGCCACTTGGCCGGCCCCTAAAATAGTCGGTCCAGAATCATTCATTAGGAAAACTAGTGATTTGAACCATACTTGTAAGTATTATCTTTGTGTTATATAATAGAACCACTTTATCATTTTCTTCACTTTTATGGAAGTTTTAAAAAGTATATATTAAAATTTGAAACTCAGAAAAATCAATATTTTAATTTAAAATCTCAAGTCAGGTGCTAACTTATACAGGACCTCTTTCCTTAGTAGTCTTTCTTAAAACAGATAAGTATAATTTATACCTTTAAAATCAGGTTTCCATTTAGACATTTTTCTCCTCTTTCATTTCTTCATTCTGTTTGTATAAATAACTGCATGAGGAACCCCGCAACAGTGTTGGGGTGAGGAGGTTGTGGTTTGGGGAGATGTTAAATTTATAATATTTGAAAGTTTGCTGAGAGAACAGGATGGTGCTCAGTGGTGTGTGGTGACGGAGGCCTCTTTGGTCACCACTGCAGTGGCTGCCATGCTGTCTTCTGGCAGCCGCCGAGCCTGTGTAGCAGCATCTCAGGGAGGTCCTGGGCCACGTGGCAGGCAGAGCTGGGAGAAGAGGCAAATCCATCGGAATAGATTTAAATGTGTAAATGTTTGATGTAGAACAAGAGGGACTGACATAGGATCTGAAGAGGAAAGTGAACCTCTGTGCTTCCAGGGACATTAGGGCCATAGGTGGTCTGCCAGGCACCGCTGTCATCACCATGCTCCTGAAACAGCCGGGCCTTGGCAGGCCGTGCTGACGGGTGGAAGGGTGGGTGGGGTTTTACAAATGTAGAGAAATGACAGACTTACAGTGTTCATTTTTCTTCCGTTGATTTGGTGCCTTCTTATTAGCAGATGAACAAGTAACAAAGAAAATTAACACAAATATTCTAAGCACTCAGGATGACAGCTTATTTATTTTTTCCAATAGAATTGTTTTATGGTTGTGATTTTCCATTGCAGATTTGATTTACATATATTTTCCTGGTATAAATCGTCTTCATTCATATAATAAAATTAAATGTATCTAGTATATCAAGGTATTCTACCAAAAAATCCACCCCTGGAAACTTGAATAATTGGCGTAAAAGGGACAAAGCACTGAGCTAGTGTGAGAACAAGTGGGCCAGGCCATGGCTTGAGGAAGACTTAGCTGTGAGGGCTATTTTGGAGCCTCTTTGGGTGTTCTCCTTGGGAAGTACAATCTGCTTAGTTACTATCTGCTTTATATTCTGGAATATTCAGAATTTACTTGTGGGAATCATCCAAATTCTTTTCAGAGCGATCAACACATAACATGTGAGGTCAAAGAAGGGTTCTCTGCTTCTGGCAAAGTCCCTGAAGTCCAAGAGCCACCCCGCACCTCCGCACCACACACACATACTCTGGGCACCTTCAATTCAGGTTTTCTCCACAGCCATTGGCAGATCGCCCGGCCTAACTCTGGTTTGGATTGTTGGTTGGCATTGTGATCATTTTTTCAAAGTATTGGAAAGAAAACAAGGTTGATTTTTTTTTTCAAAGTATTGGGGAGAAGTTAAATAAGGTTGACTTTTTTCCTTTGTAAAAGGTAAAGACTCCTGTTCAACATTTTGTTTTGATATTTCGGTTTTTACCATAGGAGTATCCAACCCTTACAACCTTCTTTGAAGGAGAAATAATCAGCAAAAAACACCCTTTCTTAACTCGAAAGTGGGATGCAGATGAAGATGTTGATCGGAAACACTGGGTGAGTACATCTTTGATAGCTCTGGGCCACCAGGGACGGCTGGGGAGCTGAGGAACTTGGCCCCCAGGGTCTCAGCACTATCTTCCTGTTCTTTCTATTTGTCCAACTCCTGTCCACTGGTCCTTTCTAATCTCTTGTACTTGAGGAAACTCTGTGAGACAGAGTAATAGCCTCTGACTTTAGGGTGTGAGGTGGGGATGCAGTTCCCGGAAACCTGTCCCTCCTCTGGCAAACCCACAGGAAGCTGCTGCTTCTCATCCTAGCTCCTGACAGGCCAGGCCCAGTCTTAATTCCTGGCAGGATTCTACCCCGCCCCCTCTAACTGTCAGGTGTGGAGCGTGTTCTCATTCACAGTGTGAACACTTCAGGGCAACTTAGAGTTATTGTCCTCGAATCTTTTCTTCAGTTGGCATACCAGTCTTGTGTTTTCAAAAATCCATTTCTCAACCTATCGTAATAGCCTTTTGGCTTAGCTGACCATGGCAATAATGAATTTTGGGTTAACACTGAGGAATTTCAACATGCCCACCCTCTAAGCCAATGGGAAATGATTGCATCATGAGGATTCTAGAACTCCTCGTTCTCCCCATGGCTGCTCAGACCTGGCTGTTTACACAGCAGTCCTTGCACACTCCTCCTGCAGACCCTTGTCTGAGTTAGCGTCACTGTAGATTAGCTGCTTTGCTTAGTACTGGTTTTCTCTTGAGTTAGGAAAGGAACATCTACCAAATGCTGAGTTTCGATTAAATTTAAACTTGAGCTTTTCAGAACATTTTTTGAAAATTATTTGCTTGACTATTGTCTAAAATTATACAGTTACTTGTGTCTCCGTAATACGAGAGAATGAACAAGGTTTGAGAATCCAGAAGGTTGGAGGAAGTCCTCTTGGGGGCCAGCAGTGCCAGTGTTTGAAAGCAGTATTGGCGGGCTCCTCAGTGCCGTCTGGTTCCACCTTGCCCAGTGCCAGCTCTTCTGTATGGCCCACTACCTATGACATGGCTCCTTCCTCTCCTGGACAGCCCCAGTGAGAAAGTTCTTCCTTGTAGTAAACCACAGCCTGCCCCCATTCAGCTTTGTTTTCCATCTCAATTGGTCTTGCAAAGAGCAAGGTCTTTGAAGCCCAGTGAAACCTGAATTTTTGGCGCGGTTGACTGCAAATTAAATACCTAGAAAGCAACTCTTATGTTCCCATTGTCTTCCATTAGAACACTGGAAAATGTCTGAGACTCCAGCCTTTCTTAGGCTGGATTGAAATATTTTGAGTGAAAAAGGGGCAAAAAAGGCCACCCTTGGCCCTTGCGTGCCAGGCCGGGTAGGATGAGAAGCTGGGCCTGCGGGCCATGTGCTCACCCAGCCATCCTGGCTTCCGCTGCAGTGCTCAGCGTCTCCCATAACTTCCCCGACCCACGGAGGACTCCCAGGTCCCCACATGGGATGCCTGGAGATCTTTGGGCCTTTGTTTGTCAGGGATTTACAGCGTCTAATAAACTTCACCTGTGGTACCATTTTCCATTGTAAACTGGACTCAGAAACATTGTATCTCACCCTCAAATTTTCCTGAGTGGTACTTAAAGTTGCTATCACAGCAGTACTATAAAGTCAAGGTTCCATAGACTTAATTGACTTAGAATTTTTAAAAAACCTATGTAACAAATTCTATGACTTAATATCTCTATATCCTAATTTTTTATTTAAGATGTTTTCTTATAAAATTAATACATACTTCTTTAAAATTATTTGCAAAAAAATGCAGAAAAGCAAAAGGGAAAAAAATCATCCATAATGACAACACCTAAAGCTAAAACAGGTATTAACTTTTCTTGAATCTCATTTGAGTATCTATACTTTTTTTTTTTTTTTAGCAAAAATGCGATCACAAGATATGGTTTTGTAACCTATTTCTAGTCTCCTTTTCTTTTAACTTAACCATATACTGCCCGTTTCCAGTTTCTACTTACCTACTGGCCCCAGAGTTCCTGCTTTACTAAACCGTCTGTCCCTTTAGCTCAGCAGGCTGGTTCTGAGATGTTCTGCGTGCCTCTTTTTGCTACCGTCAATTTACTTAGGGGGATATTTTCACTAATCTGGCTTTGTCTGTCTGTGCTAAGGTGTCTTGAGAAAAGGCGCGTAGAGTTGCCTCTGTCCCCATCCTGTGGCCTTTCCACACTAGGCAGGTGTAGCCCGTGGCGCTGGAGCTGAGGCCAGGCACTTGTCCCAGAGCCCAGGTTTCATTTCGGTGAGGGTGACCGAAGGCTCCCTTCCAGTTTCAGCCTTGGCTGCTCTTGCCGGCGCCACAACCACCAGCTGTCATGAGTTTGAGAAGGCGACTGCACCTGGGCACGCAAGGGTGGCTCCGGCACCAGCCTCTCCCTCTGTGGACCAATATCTTATGCTATTTTTTTGTTTTCAGGGCAAGTTTCTGGCTTTTTATCAGTATGCAAAATCATTTAATTCAGATGACTTTGATTATGAAGAGCTGAAGAATGGGGATTATGTCTTCATGAGGTGGAAGGTAAGCCCCCAGGAGGTCCTCCTGTAGTGTATGGGGCCCCCACCTGCTCCCCATGTCCTGTGCTTATTACAGTTTGTCTTCTTGGCAGGGTCTTTACACACTCACAAAAGGCAGGCACAGCTCCTGGGCACACTGGTTCACTGCTGACCTCCCAGATGGCTTCTCTCTGCTTAAACTGTTTAGTGTTAGCAGATGAATTCCTGCCCGGGGTGGTCACCCTCCACGCCGCTGTGTGTATCTTCTCCCAGCCAAGAACCCCTGTGGCCCTCCTGGTTGAATCAGCCCTAGATTTCTGTGGGTTTGGGGCGGGGGACCAAACTCTTTGAACTCAGTCGCCCTCTAGCCCCTGTTCTCAGCCACAGCCTTAAATGCCATTTAAATGACTATTCCCTCACCACATCCTTGCCCAGGGCTCAGTGCAGTCCCTGCGCCTCTGGTTCCGTCCAACTCAGGAAATGAGGGACCAGGAATGGAATTCAGGTTTTCCACTCACCAGCCCTCAGAGAACTCCATCTGGCTGCACTCTGTGGGTTGGGTTTGGGCTGAGAGGTCATCTGTGCTCATGCTCTCTGCTTTGATAGCACGATACTTACTGTGTATGAAATCACGAAGCAAGTTGGTTAAATCACTTTGTGAACATATACCCACCGCCAAGCCCGACTCCCAATCTGTAGAAAAAAGCTGTTTTATCTTAAAATCTTGCCGACTTTCACATAGACAAATCATTTAGAGTAGTCATTCACAATCTTTACTTTGTGGAGCTAATAATTTTGGGGAGTGAGGATCATCACTGGTTCAGGAGACAGCTGCCTGGTGTTGCGCCCTGCCCCTGGGAGCTTGCCATCAAGTGGGAGATAAGGCAACTAAATAACCTATTAAAGGGTGTATCTTATAAGGTTCTAATTTAAAAAACTATAATTTCAGAGGTTGAGGAAAGGGAAGGAGAGTGTCTTAGGATAAAAAAAGCAATGGGGTTGTTTTATCTCCAAAGAACTTCTCAGAGTGACTCACCTGTGGGCTTTTGGTAGCCCTCTTTGGGCCCTGGGGCCTCTGACCTCGTCTCCCTGGGAAAGTAGATACCAGGATGTGGTCATTCAGCTCGGCTTCAACCAGAGAGAACAAGCTGGCTGATCAAGAGTAGTACCATTCTGGCTGCTTTTGATGAGATGTAGAGCTATTGAAGCGGGTGTTACTGGGGCTCCTGGTGACTGAGCTGCCCTCAGAATGATCCACAGGCCAACAGAGGTGCCCCGCTGTCCTAGAGGTAATCAGAAACCTAGTGACAGTTCCTGCAATGGAGTAGAAATTTACTTTTCCTTTCCCAGGTCATTCTGTCTGTGGACTCTGAAAGGTAAGGAAGTAGGCAGGCAGGCAGGTGGGTAGGTATTGATTCATTTATGGATGGGTGGACCATGGTACCATCTCGTAGTTGCTGATCCCAGTGAGCTTAAGACACGGTTTGCTGCATTAGTATGTACTCGTAGAATACTCAAGTGGCCCATGAATGCTGTTCACAGGTCAAGTTGAAATGAAGAGGCTTGCCTTTGCCCAGCAAGCCTGGGTTACACCACGTTATGGTGGAACCTTAGAACCACCTGATGGTTAACAAAGCCCAGAGGTGGTTGGAGCACGCTGTCACTTACCTTCCCCATCTGTGTGCAGGAACAGTTCCTGGTCCCAGACCACACGATCAAAGACATCAGTGGTGCTTCCTTTGCCGGGTTCTACTACATCTGCTTCCAGAAGTCGGCAGCCTCCATAGAGGGCTACTATTACCATAGGAGTTCAGAATGGTAAGGAGCCCCAGAGGCGGGCGGGGGCTCACCGAATCCACAAGTAAATTTTTGCCTGTCTCTGCTTGGATTTCATGCTCTGTTTGGATGCCGAGGGCCTCTTTAAGTGATTTCAGTTGCTCACACTAAGCTTATCCCCATCCACAGAGCAGAGTAAATGGGATGAAAATGAAGTACTAGGTGGAGGAACTCACTGCTAAGTTCTTTCAAACAGGACTATGTTTTCAGCACTGTTTAGCTTAGTCTTGCAGGTTTTGTATTTGGTCTGCCCAAATTTAACCAGTAAATAAAATGTCAGATCCAGCTGAGACAGTATGAATTTTGTTGTCAGCAGCCTTTTTAATTCTGTGGTCACATTCCTTAGATACTGGTCCCACATGGACTTGATCTCAGCCCGATGCCCTAGGGGCCAATGGGAGTTGGCAGTCCTGCCCTGTGTTCGAGATGAAGGACCAGTGGCCACGGCAAGTGCTAGCTTTTTCCACTTTGTGGGGACTCTCCCTCCTTGCTGCTTTTTAAGCTCTTTAGACCTGAAGGGTGAACATATCGTAAAATACCAGATTTCCTCTCGAATGTAGAAACACCTTATTTCCTTTCATATTTTTCACACTTTGGTGACTTGTGAGTGACCCTACCCTGTGTTGACTCACACTTCTTGTTGAGTGGCAGCAAACTGATACCTGCAGGTCCGTACCTTTGGGGTCAGGGCAGCCCCAGCTCCTCTGAGAGCCAGTTAGTAGGGTTTCAATAACTTCTGTTTGCAAAAGAGTTTTTGAAACTTTTTATAACCTTTTTTTAAATAACAGCTTTATTGACATATAATTTGCATACCATACAATTCACTCATTTAAAGTGTATAATTCAGTGGCCTTTAGTATATTAACAGTTGTGCAGCTGTCACCACAGTCAATTTTAGAACATTTTTATCACCACAGGAAGAAACCCTATGACCCCTTAGCCATCACCCCCAACTCCCCTTCCCTTTGCAACCCTATGCAGCCACTGATCTATCAAGAGAGATTTGCCTATTCTGGATATTTTATATAAGTGGATTCATACACTCTGTGGCCTTTGTGTCTGGCTTCTTTCTCTTAGCATCTTAGCATAATGCTTTGAAGGTTCAGCCATGTATTAATACTTCATATTTATTGCTGAATAGCTTTCCATAAGGATATAGACCACATTTTGTTTATCCATTCATCAATTGATAGACACTTGGGTTGTTTTCACCTTTTAGCTGTTGTGAATAATGCTGCTGTGAACATGGATATACAAGTATCTGTTTTGAGTTCTTTCTTTCAATTCCTTTGGGTATGTACCTAGGAGTGGAATTGGGGGGTCATATCGTAATTCTGTTTTTAACTTTCTGAGGAACTGCCAAAAAGCAGCTAAACCATTTTTCATTTCCCACCAGCAATGCACCAAGTTACAGTTTCCCCACTTTCTCCATATTCTCCCCAACACTTGTTATGATATTTTTATGATTATAGGATCCTAGTGGGTTTGCAGTGGTATCTCCTGGTTTTGATTTTTGTATTCTGATAGCTAATGCATAATCCTTTCTGAATGATTTTTTGGGTGAAAAACTGCTTTTTCCTGTGCTCCTCCTCACTCCTGTGTGGAACAAGTCAGGGGGTTGCCAACACCCACACCAGAGACTGATTGTCCCTGCTGGTTATCACCCCCATGTGTGGATTGTCCCGGCCTCTGCTTCTCCTTCCTCTGCTTGGTTTCTTGGAGCACCGCCCAGTGGGGAAACACAAATGCCGCCTTAGAGCTCTCTAATGCCCTCCAAGCCTACTAGCCATGTCTGGGGAGCAAGAAAATGAAAATGATGGCAAAATAAGGGTTAGCTGTGAAGTTGTCTTTTCCATGCTCTCTTTGGATTTGGGACAATTGGGTTGTGTCTGTGGTACCTATGAGACTCTGAGGAGCAAACAGCCTGACTGACATTCCAGAAGGAGCTGAGATGCTGGACAGCAGAGGCAGAGCGAGCTGAGAGTGAGCACAGGGCTTAGCCTGTGTCTTCTCTCAGCTTCCTAAGCCTCTCATTTTATAAGACATGCTGCTAGAGTTGCTTTATGATTAGAGCAAAAGGCCTGAAAACGTTTATGCGTAGCTCAGGAGGATTCACCAAAGAAATAGAAATAAAACCAAACTCAGTTCACCTGAAGAAGCCTCAGATGAATTTGCATTCCCATCCAAGTATATGGCTTGTCAGGTGCTCTGGGTGGGTGTTACTTCAGACATCCATTGTGTGGTTTTCAGGATGCTGAGCCTACTGCCTTCTTTTTTTTCCCCCCTGTTGCAGGTATCAGTCGCTCAATCTAACTCATGTCCCTGAACACAGCGCACCCATCTATGAATTTCGGTGATAGTCGTTCAGAACAGCAACCAAATAAATCTGAACTTGGCAAAAAAGAACTTTGCCAAGAAAATCGCGTACCTGCCGGAACCAGGAGAACATGTGTTCCTGTTTCTTCGTGAGCAGACTCACATCAGAAAGCATGAATGTTAACCCACAGAATCTGAGGAGCATGGCCAGCCGGCAGGGCAGGTGGAGGGGTCCATCTCTGTTCTTTCTCCCTTTCTGTGGCAGTTTGGTCTTAATCTGTTTTTAAGCTACCTTATATGCACTTTTCCTTCCTGCACAGCTAACTTCCATGTCACTGAAATGCCCATTCCTTCCTCCATCCCACCTCCAGCCAAGTAGAAGGTCAGCCCCCGGTCACCCTCAGCCTTGGTGCTCAGTGGTCCCCATCCAGGCCCCCTGCCCCCCAGTTGCTTAGTCTGGTAGCTTAAGAAAAGGCAGAGCCCCAGCACATGTGTGCCCCCCAGAGCTCTGTGTAGGGAGTGTCGGGTGAACTGTAGCAGCGTCCGCTGCAGAAATGTAAGGGGGAGGCTGATTGCCTAACAGGGTCAGCTGGCCCTGCCCAGCCTGGTAATGTTCACTCGAAGCTCGTCAGTGGCTAGCAGGTTCCCTGGGCCTGCCGTCAGGGATCACTAAATTTAAGGCTTCCAGATCCCTGGCAGGAACAGATTCCGATCCTGCTTACTTAGCGCGTTTGCTCCAAACTTTTGAACTTGAGGGCAATACTAAACTTTAAAAAAAAAAAAAAAGAGTTTTTTTATTACAAAATTATTTTTATGGTCCCTTTAACAAGGACCCTATGGCAAATGCACAAATATTCAGAATTACATTTTATCGTTTTCACATTGAAAACAGCAAATGTTGACTTAGTAATTTTTATACCTATATCTATATGTAAATGTATATTTAATCAACCAGCAGTTTGAAACTAGTCATTCTGGTACAGTTTTGCAGCATTGCATAAATTACAGTGCTAAACATGAGAACTGTTTTTGGGGCCAGTTTAGCATTTGTACCTCCTCCTTTTGCTACTCAGAACAGCAATGCTTCGTGGCGACTTCTTCCATCAGGCAGAAGGGGCCGTCATTCTCCTAAAACAGCGACTCTGAAATGTTGGGATGGGGGAGGGGTGGGAACATGAACACGTTCAAATAACTCAAGGCTCACGTGCCAAAGTAAGTGTGCGTGCGTGCGTGTGCTCCTTTTTGGTTTTGTTTAATGTTTAAAAAGCTTAATAGATTGGCATCAGTTGTGGACCACAGATACGGGTAGAGCTTTGGGTGATTGGCATTTTCTGGTGGTTTACGAGGCTGACTCAGAGTACAAGAGGGAAACCTTTAATAACAAGATAGCATTATAACTCACAGGAGCAAACAAGCTGAGAGGTGCATATCATGGGTGGTGAGACAGCACAAAGCCCTCGGCCTAGATGAGTGGTGGGAGTCCTCTGTTATTGAAGAGTGTGGACTGAGTCGATATTCAGCCTAATAATTCCCATGCAGTCCACACCGGCTCTTAACATCCATATGTGCTGTATGTTACTGAGAGTGAGTGTTAGGGAAGCCCCAAGGGAGAAGTGCGTGGGGAAGAGGTCAGCATTGGGACATCTAGGATGTGTAGTCCTAAGGCTTCGTGCAGACGTGTGACCGACCACCCCATCAAGGCAGCCCACGGCCATGGAACCCTGAAAAGTTGCCTTGGTGACTTTAGTGGGAAAATGATTCACATTTATTCCCAGAGATGAGTCAGAACTGTTTTTGTGATTTTAAAACTCCAAAAGGCAACAAATGTGTGTGTCTGGTCAAACCAGCTGAAAGCACAGTAACGAGGAGATGACGATCACTGTTGGTTCAGTTTAGCTGACGGTGTCACCTAAGAGTAGAAGAGGCAGCAGGGCTGCGCTGGCTTTCTTCACCCAGCGCGAGCCTTCCCATTTCACCTCCATTCCCCTCCCACATCGTGCTCGTACATATTGTCTGCATTTGCAGCCTTCTTAAAGGACACAGGCCTTGCTCAGGACACTGGCAGTGAGGTCTCCTGGAGCTTGTCAGGGCCTCCGGGTGGCTCTGAGAGGTCAGTGGGTTGGTTGAGTGGCCAGGGGAGGACATGTGCAAACTTGGATGGTATTCAGCTAGCTGGAAGGGCCATGTTCTATGCAGGATTTCTTTTTTAGCGCTGTAATGAAGTATACCAGTTGGGGGAAATGGAGAAGTGATACTTTTATTACATCTTTTGGACACATCTGTGATGAAGACTTGTCCACATAAAACCTGCCCATTGAGGACCAGGAAGGGATTGTTTTCCACCTCCTCTCAGTAACTCCCGTGCAGTCTATATCGACTCCTCTTGTTCAGCTCCCAAAGGCACTTTGGGGATCGTCACCGTCTGCAGTTGTTCTTTCCAGAACCTCAGTGGTTTACATGCCTCTGGTACAATGTGCAATATTTTTGGTTGACACTTGTATTCATCATTCAGAAGTTAGCATAGATTGCAGATTTTCTACTATCTTCCTCTGCTCCAAATAAGACTGCCAAGAGGTGGGGCCCTAGGGATCTGGCTGCTCTTAATCCACTACTCAGAAAGCTTCCATTCTCAGGTCCCAGCCTCATTGCTCTTCTGTGCTAGAGTTATCTCTTCCCACCCACCCCTCCTCTTACACATCACAGCTTTCCAGCCACAGTCCAAAAGTACCTGAGCAATGCCCAATATGAAATAGAAAGTCCATTTGTGAGCAGGTTCTATTGGTGATGTGGAAACCACAAACTCCAGGGGAGCAAAGGGACTTTTCCATGTCATTTGCTTTCAGAAATGGGGGATTTTTATTCTCTAAGGCCTTGAATTGATTTTTTTTCTCGTAAAATAGTCTGATAAGCTAATTTTTAAAAAGAAATGCCATTAAGTATGTTGCATTGTGGTTTAAAATTACTAACGAGTTCTGGGAAAGAAAAATAATATTTGATTTTGAATCTTAAATGTTTTTAAAAATTAGATGTGAATGGATGCAAAGTATGAATATTTTGTTTCTTTAGGGAGGACATGTGGAAAAGGTTTGAGGGTTTGGGATGGGAGAAGTATTTTGCAGAGCTATCAATGTCCAAATAATTTTTTAAAAATAATAAACGTATTTAAGCAGTGATTCTGTCCTATTTCTAAATCAAAACTGTTGTGTTAGAAGATACCAGCCCTCTTTCTGGCTCTGTGGCTGTGGAGGTTTCTGGGCCACCAGAGGCCCCGAGACCCACTCGGGAACAGATGCAGTGCCGTGCCCTTGCTCCCTCGTCATTCCAGATGTCAGACACAACACTTCTATTTGAACTCCATTTTGTGAATTTTTATATATTTTTTTGCATGTGTGCAGAACTTCTATTTAACACAGAAAATAGGCAAACGGAGATATATGTTCACCACCTAATTCACAGGCTGGGGCTAGCACAGGCAATTGGACAGGGACAGGCTGTGGCCCCTCAGCCCTTGGCACCTGATCCTCAGAGGAAATGCCTGAGCCCCAAGGCACCTCGGCTCCCGAACAGCTGCACCAAGCAATGTTCCGAAGCCAGATGGAGGTGGCAAGTCCTGGTCCTCAGTTTCTCTGAATCCTGTCTCTTTGGGTCCTAACCCAGCCTGTTACACTTGCTTTTGATTTTGACAGACCACGCTGACTTGTGTCAGGACACCTTGGCTCTCTTGTTGCAGTGCTTGGTTTCAGGCACCGCCTCCCGAGGCAGCACCAAGGAACACAGCTGGAAACATCATTTGAATTTTTGAGAAAATGTTGATAGTGTTGAAAAGGCTTAAATTATAAGCAAGATGAAGTCCTAAGGGAATTTACATCAACATCAGGGCAAAGTTCCCCTGGGGTGTATAAAGTATCATCTGATCTCATGTTTCAGCAAAAATAAACTCTTTCCCCAAGATGTGGTGTCAAAAGAATAGACTGTTCACAGTGCCAGACTCTTGGTCGAAGACACCATAGACGGGGAAAACCTTGGGATGCCTGGGTGTTCCGGATCTGCCTCAGTCCTAACATGAGCTCCTGTGCATCAGCTAAATTCGGAACCCAAATTTCCTCACCTGGAAAAATAGAAAGAACAACCTCTACCTGCATCAAAGACTTGCTGAGAATTCAATGCTTTCCTTTTTTTTTTTTTTTTTTTTTTTGGTAAGTTACAGAAAAAATACATTTCAAAGAAACAGAAGTAGGCCCGAGCAGTAGAGAATGGCTCAAGGGCCATTATTAAAAGAAAAAGTAGGGCCGGCCGAGTGGCTCAGTTGGTTAAGAGCTCACTCAAGTGTGTGAGCTCTGAGCAACAGTGGTTCAAGTTCCGGCCTGAGCTGAGCTGCTGCTGAGCTGCCAACAGGTGGCAGGATGGCTCAGCAAAAA